TTACTCAGTACCTCTTTTCCTGGTCGTTTGTTGACTGGGAATCTCACACAGTCACACACACACACACACACACACACACACACACACACACGGAGGGTTCTACACAAACACACACCATCATCTCCAGTAATCAAATCCTCCTCCTTGCCACCCTCCAAGGGAAGGCTCTTTTAACCCTGTTTTGACCACAGAAACCCACTTCCACAGGGCTCACTCAACCCCTTTGGCAGGGGCCAGTCCACTCCCACAGCCTAATCATGCTGTTGCTTTGGGACAGGAAATTCAAGGGTGTGTGCATGGAAACATGCCCGTGACCTTGGGTGGGGGGTGAGGTGAAATGGAGCTCCCCACCCAAGGTCACCCCACATCACAACTCACACCACTCCCCAGGCAGTGGGATACACACTGCAGATCCCTGCTGGCTTCGTTTTCGAAAGATTTATGTGTTTATTCAGTTCATTAAAAGGCAGAGTTATGGGGTCCATATCGTGGCATGGTAAGTAACGTCGGCCTGCAGTGCTGGCACTCCGCATGGACGCCAGTTCACTTCCCAGTTGCTCCACTTCCCATCCAGCTCCCTGCTTGTGGCCTGGGAAAGCAGCTAAGGATGGCCCAAAGCCTTGGGACCCTGCTTCCTGCATGGGAGACCCTGAAAAAGCTCCTGGCTCCTGGCTTCAAAACAAACCAACACAGTGCAATCAATTGCAAAATAAATAAATAATTTTTTAAAAAAGATTTGTTTATTTGAAAGACAGAATTACAGAGAAAGAGAGAGAAATTTCTCACATGCTGCTTCACTCCCCAAATGACCACAAGGGCCAGAGATGGGACCTGTCCAAATCCAGGAGCCAAGAGCTTCTTCCAGGTCTCCCACAACGCGGGTACAATGACTCAAGCACTTGAGCCATTATCTGCTGCTTTCCCAGGTGCACTAACAAGGAGCTATATAGGAAGTGGAACAACCGGGATACGAACCAGCACCCACGTGAAATGCCAACACCATAGGAGGTAGCTTTACTTGCTATGCCACACCGCTGACCCTAACTATAGAACATTACAGGTACTCTGTTATGTAAATATCAGCATACTCCACGGCCGAATATTTTTATTGTGCCAAAAAATCTATTAGCAGTCACTCTCCAAGCAGGGTGGGGAAGCTTTGTTCTGCCAAGGGCCATTCGGATATTTATAGCACCATTCTTGGGCTATATAAAATTGTCAACTTAAAAATTAACCTGCTGGGGGCCAGCATTGTGGCATAGCAAATTACACCACTACTAGTGATGCCAGCGTCCTAAACATGTTCCGGCTTGAGTCCTGGCTGCTCCACTTCTGGTCCCAGCTCTCCGCTAATGCACTTCAAGAACTCTAGGTGGGCCTCCCAGAGAGGAAGCAGGGACCTAAGCATCAGCTGCTTTCCCCAGTGTGTTAACAGGAAAGTGAATCAGAAGCGAAACAGGGGCCTGGCGTAGTAGCCTAGTGGCTAAAGTCCTCACCTTGAACACACCGGGATCCCACATGGGAGCTGGTTTTAATCCCAGCAGCCCCGCTTCCCAGCCAGCTCCCTGCTTGTGGCCTGGGAAAAGTAGTAGAGGATGGCCCAAAGCCTTGGGACCCTGCACCCACGTGGGAGACCCTGAAGAAACTCTTGGCTCCTGTCTTTGAATCAGCTCAGCCCCTTGGCGGGCGAACCAGCAGACGGAAGATCTTTCTCTCCATCTCTCTCTCCAAGTCTGGTTTTCCAATAAAAATAAATAAGTATTTAAAAAAAAAAAAAAGTGGAACAGCCAGGACTCAAAGCAACACTCTGATTTGGTGTCAAAGGTGGCAGCTTAAGCTACTGCATCAACACCGCCAACACCTCTTTCTTTCTTTTTTCTTTTTATGAAAGCCACTTTAGAGACTGGTGCTATGGTCACCACCTGTGGTATCAACATCCCTTATGGGCTCTGGTTCGTGTCCGGCTGCCCCACTTCCCATCTAGTTCCCTGCTAATGGCCTGGGAACACAGCAGACAATGGTCCAAATCCTTGGACTCCTGCACCCACGCGGGAGACTCCGAAGAAGCTCCTGGCTCCTGGCTTCCGACCAGCCCCACCTCTAACCACTGTAGCCTTTGGGGAGTGAACCAGCAGGTAGAAGCGCTCTCTGTCACTCCACCTTTCAAACAAAGTAAATATACCTAAAATAAAATACCTCCCTAGCTGAGTTGATATCTCCTTTTGATTTTTATTGCCTTTGCCTATTTCTAATTGAATTTTTTTGTTGTTGTTCTGTTTCTCACTGGGTTGTACGCACCATGGTCGGTATTGAGTAAATAGCTGATGGGGCTGTGTTTGCTCAGAGTCGGTGCTATTTGCCGAGTCTGTGAAGTTTGGCCCCTGGACTCCAAGTCCTCTGTCCTGCTACTCTTTGCATCTAGCCGAGGGCACCTCCCTCAGAACCAAGCCACTGCGGGGTGCTGGCAGTAGAACCATGCCCATTTCACAGGCAGGGAAAACTGAGGCTCCGTGGGGAGGAGGGCCCAAGGTGCGCCCTGTGAGACTGCAGTTGGACTCAGACCTGTGCAGGACCGGCCTCACCATCCACCCCTGCTCCTTCCTGGGCTTCTGCCTCTAACCCTGTCCTTGTCAATGCGAAGTGAGTCACACAGACATAATTTTGCTCACTTTATAGGAGGGGAAAATGAGGCTAAGGGAGGCCACATGACTTGCGAGATCCAGAATTCAGGAAACCTAGAGGAGGCCCAGCCCTTGGTTGGAGCACCTGACCCCAGCCAGTATCTCCCTCCCCACCACACACACACACACACACACACACACACAGGCCGGCCATGCCATATTTCCCTGGCTCAGGGCCACCCGAGATAGGATCCTGGCTACATAAACTTCCTCCAGGACTGCCCACACCCAACACCAGCTGGACCCTTTGGCCTGGCACTCCCAACCCCACCCAGCAGTCCCAGCCCAAGGCCTTTGCCCCTATAGAAAGTGGGTCCCTGTGCTTGCCAGGGCCCTCTGGCTCTGTTTACCTCCCTCTTCTAGCTCCCCAGGGCTTGGGCAGGCTGCACGCCCGTGTTTGGCAAAGCACGAAGCCACCCAGCACGACAGCTACGTAGGCTGCCCGGGTGGGAGAAGACATTCCCATTCACAGCAGTAAATCGATTCTTCCTGGACCACACAGCACCAGTGAGCTAAACAGGCCAAACCCTCACCCATCTCAGGGACATTCTGGAGTTGATAGACTGTGTGTGTATGTGTAAGAGAGAGAGAGAGAATCAAAAATAAACAGGGGCAGGCTCACGCTACAGCCGCAAAGTCATTCACTTGGCAGCCGGGCATCCAACATCAGACAGAGTGCCTAGTCCCAGCTATTCCATTTCCCAATCCAGCTCCTTGCTGATGTGTTCCCCAGGGGACACAGTAAGTAATGACGCAACCTTTGGGTCCCTGCCACCCATGCGGTAGTCTCAGATCTCAGGTTAAATTCCAGGTTCACTTGCTTTCTCTCTCTCCCACCTTCTTTCAACTGAGATGAAAAGGAATGGGCCCGGCGGCATGGCCCAGCGGCTAAAGTCCTCACCTTGAGAGGGCCAGGATCCCATGTGGGCGCCGGTTCTAATCCCGTCCCGGCAGCTCCACTTCCCATTCAGCTCCCTGCTTGTGGCCTGGGAAAGCAGTCGAGGATGGCCCAATGCTTTGGGACCCTGCACCTGTGTGGGAGATCTGGAGGAGGTTCCTGGTTCCCGGCTTCGGATCGGTGCAGCGCCGGCCATTGTGGTCACTTGGGGAGTGAATCATCTGACGCAAGATCTTCCTCTCTGTCTCTCCTCCTCTCCGTATATCTGACTTTGTAATAAAAAATAAATAAATAAAATAAAACTTTAAAAAAAACCCAGAAAAGGAACACTAACTTGTAAAGAATGTAAAAACGCAAATACACAGGGAATGTATGGAGTGTGTCTCACAGGCAAAGGGACCTGGCCATGGCAGGTGTTGTGTCTAGGAGCCCAGCAGCCTGAAGGCAGCAGCCACAAGCACACAAGCACTGGGACTAGAAGGGCTTGGGGACCGACCAGACGCACTGGAAACTCCTAGGCTGATTCCGAAAGGCTCAGAGCCGAGCCAGGTGCGGGAGCCAGGACCTGGTGGAAAACATTTCTGACTTTTCCATATTCGGTCCATCAAGCTTCTTTCATCACCACTTCATCAACGTGGACCCCGGCACTGATCCGACGTACCCCTGAGGGACGCGGGAACAGGCTCCCTGAGAGGAGGGGACTCAGTGAGGTGGAAGGCGGGCAGGGGGCTGCGACTTTCTGGGACCAGTTCAGCTAAAGGCATCCAGGCTGGTTGCCAGCGCCGGGAGCAGCAGGGGGATCGGGAGGAATTTGGGCTCCCTTCTGCACCCCCTGCCCGCCGCCCCCCAGGCCTGAAGACCCTCGCAGCCCGACCTCGGTTTCCAGACCCAGCTTCCCCGCGGAACTGGACAATGCCCAACAGCTTGGTGGAGACCGGGCTGGCAGGCGCCAGCTGCGCGCATCTCAGAGGCGAGAGGGACCTGGGCAGGTGCAGTTCCCCTGGACGGAGCCCAGCCCACTCGCCCCAGCAGCTGTGGCCACGCCTTCTCTCTCTCTCTCTCTCTCTCTCTCTCTCTCTCTCTCTCTCTGGGCGCTCAGGGGCCCCGCCATCCAAAGCAGTTGGCCGCGCCCCCCCAGGCCCACACCGCCAGCGCCAGAGGCGCCGAAATGCCTCGGGGAGTTTAGAGGGCGGGGTGGAAAGGGGCAGTTTCTGATTTGCACTTCAAGTCGTTCAAGTTCTGAGCTAAAGAGGGACGCGGAGTGGGGGATGGATGGGGAGGGGCAGACTCCGCCCTCCCCTAACAGCCCCCACCCCCCAGCACCCGGGCGCACGTCGCCACTCGCCGCCAAGTCCTTCCCTCCCTGGGTGCAAGGTGAAGGTGGGAGGGGGCCACGTCACTGTCCCCAGGCCCGGCTCCGCCCCTCCCGCCCCCGGCGCGCCGCTGGGGCTATGAGCTAAGTCTAACCGGCCCCAACGCACCGAGCCAGAAGCAGGTGCAGGCGCAGCCGCGGCGCCGGAGTGCGTAGCCGAGCCGTTAGCGGCCGCCGTCGTCTGTGAATCCGTCCATCCAGCCGCCGTCTTTCCTCGGGTTCGCGTACCCGCCCGCAACTGACCCCGGCGAGGCCCAGCGGCCCCGGCACCCTCGTCTCTCCAACTCCCGGAGGCGGCTGGTGCGGAACCGTCCGGCACAACCGCAGCAGCCATGTCTATGGGCCTGGAGATCACCGGCACGTCGCTGGCCGTGCTGGGCTGGATAGGTTCTATCGTGTGCTGCGCGCTGCCCATGTGGCGCGTGTCGGCCTTTATCGGCAGCAGTATCATCACGGCACAGATCATCTGGGAAGGCCTATGGATGAACTGCGTGGTGCAGAGCACCGGGCAAATGCAGTGCAAGGTGTACGACTCGCTGCTGGCGCTGCCGCAGGACCTGCAGGCGGCCCGCGCGCTCATCGTCGTGGCCATCCTGGTGGCCGCCTTCGGGCTCTTCGTGGCGCTCGTGGGCGCCCAGTGCACCAACTGCGTGCAGGACGAGACGACCAAAGCCAAGATCACCATCGTGGCGGGCGTGCTCTTCCTGTTGGCCGCGCTGCTCACCCTCGTGCCCGTGTCCTGGTCGGCCAACACCATCATCCAGGACTTCTATAACCCCCTGGTGCCCGAAGCGCAGAAACGCGAAATGGGCGCCGGTCTCTACGTGGGCTGGGCCGCCGCAGCGCTGCAACTGCTGGGAGGCGCACTGCTCTGCTGTTCCTGTCCCCCGCGCGACAAGTACGCGCCCACCAAGGTCGTCTACTCGGCGCCGCGCTCCACCGGGCCCGCCACTACCACCATGGGCACCGCCTACGACCGCAAGGACTACGTCTGAGCCGATGGGCGCGCGGGGAAGAGACCCTCCATCCTCAACCTCAACCGCCACCGCCACCGGGAACTGGAGTGTCCACTAAGTCCTCCGTCTCGGCAGCCTCGCGTTCGAGACCCTGCGGCCCCGGGGACACCTTCTCCCCTTCGCCAGTTGCCACCGCCTCTTTGGGGCGCGGGAAGCCGGACTGCTGGGGAGGTGCGGGCGGTGGGGAGAGTCAGGGTTCGACCCGCGTGGACAATGTACCCCAGCTCCGCCCTCCTGCCCGCCGCTGGGGTGACGACCGCCGCTACTTGCCCGCTCATGGAGGCTCTCTTGTCCTCCACCCCCACTCCAAAAGCCCGCCGTTGCTTTGGGTCCCTGCGACAAGGGCAGCCAGGAACCGGGCCACTTGATGTTTTTCAATAAAAGCCGTTTGTTTTTGCAGTGGCTGGCTCCTCCTTGTCCTAAAGCTCCCCCCGTCCGGGGGGAGGGGATGATCGGTTTTGACTGGATCCCACCACCCATCCGGCACCCTCAACTTGGATGCAGCTTAGCTGAGAACTAGGGTCTGCCGGCAGGGGCGCGGGGGGAGGGGGGGAAACCCGGGCTTAAATTCCATGCACCCCGCGGGGCTGGGGGAGGGGTCTTTGGCTTACTGGCTGCAAAGTCCAACAGAGCCTGGGGCGGCGGGTGTTTCCTGCTGCTCACCTGGAGGGGGTGTGGGGCAGGCGGCAGGTAGCCGCCACCCCGTTCTCTTGGATGGGGCTTGGAGCACCTGTTGGCGCCTCAGTGTCCCACACAGTCTTAAACAGGAGTTCTCATTCCCAGGCCGGGAAAAGGAAACAAAAGAAGACCTATTGTGTAGCTCCTAGAGCAGTTAGGGGAACGCTCACCTGGCCTCGGAAATGAGAAAGGGACCCCATCTTCCTGCGAACCCCAAGACAGGAGGGAATGAGGGAGAGAGGCCACAGACTCTGTATCAAGGAGACTTGGGGGAGGCCTGGGGTGGGCTCCTGGTGGGTGGGAGTGGCGCTGAGGCCACAGGCCAAGCCGTGGAGGGTCGTGGATGTGGAGCAGCACTCAAACCTCACTCTGAGCACTAGGGATTCTTGAAGAGAAGTGTGTGGAAGACCCAGCATAGCTCTGGACTACAAGGCAGGGGCAGTCGGTGGGGCTGGGCAGAGGGAGAGTGAGGGGAGAGTCCAGAGCAGCCCCAGTGATGGGCACTGCTAGGGGGGAAATGATGGATTCTTACTTTTAAACAAAATAGTTGGGGGCCCAGTGCCCTAATCCTCCACCTGTGGCGCCAGCATCCGATGCGGTGGCCGTTTGAGCCCCTACCGTCCCACTTCCCTGCTAATGCACATGGGAAAGCAATGGAGGATGGCTCAGGTCCTTGGGTCCCTGCACTAATGTGGGAGACCCGGAAGAAGCTCCTGGCTTTAGGACAGGCTCGGCTCCAGCCATTGAAGCCATGTGAGGAATGAACCGATGGAAAGAACATCTCTCTCTCTCTGTAACTGCCTTTCCAATAAAAATATATTTTAAAAAATTATTTGAGAGGCAGACCAACAAAAAGAGCTTTCCTGTACTGGTTCAACCCTCAAATGCCTGCAACAGTCAGGTCTAAGCTGAGAGACCCAAGCTAGAGGAGTTTGGAATTCCATCCAGGTCTCCCACCTTGACCGTGCTGGAACCCCAACAGCTTGAGCCCTCACCTGCTACCTCGATAGGGGGTGTAGGTGCTTTGTTGTTCAGGCCAAACGCCCAATCTCTGGGATTGCACTGTGAGAAGATGGAGCCTGGAGAGCTGGGGGGGGGAAGTCCAGAAGGAGGCGGACCGGAAGTCGGAGGCTGTACCTACAGAATGGCGGGGAGTCGTTAAACGTACACATGGCAAGTGAAACCAGGGGATGGGGTGAGGTCAACATCGAAACCAAAAGGGAAAGAGAGCGGGAAGGAGACCACAGAAATGACCACAGGGGTAGCTGCAACAGAAGGGGCCACTGGTGGCCTTGGCTAAGACCTGGGGATGGAAAACCATGGTGGGGGAACAATGGGCATAAGGTGATAACACGAAAGTAGAGCCTGTGGACCACGTAACCCCAAAGGACTCCGTGGCAAAGCCAGACACTTGAGGTGCAGCCAACCAGGATCAAACCAGGGCTTGGGGGTTAGAAAAACCTGGAAGTGATTGTATCTCAGATATATATATATTTTAAACCCTGGCTGCAACTCAGCCATGGCAGAGGGCATTTTGTGGCAGGTATAAAATTCCTTGGTGATCACCAGCTTCCGGAGGACTGGCTTGGCCAAGAGCCTGCTGCTAGCCACACTGAACCCCTGACCCAGTCACACCAGCACCCTCAAATCAGAGGGCTGTGGCAGAAAAGGGCGACAAATCCAACCCTGGGGGAGAGTGGGCAAGCCAGCCCCATCTGTCCCCCAAACATGGATGTGTGCCCCAGGGGGACACAGGATATGAAGCTATGGCCTGTACCCTACACCCTCCAGCCAGGGCCTGGCTTTAAACTTGTCCTGACTTAGCTTCCTATGGCTCCTGACTGGAGTCAGGTGCAAGTAGCACAAGTTGAGACCCCAGGGCCACAGGCTGAAAGCAACATTAGCAAGTTCCAGGGTGGGTTGTGATGGGGTGGGGGAGGCAGGTGTCTGGCACAGCGGTTAGGACACAGCCAGGGAGGTCTGCATCGAGGAACCAGTGGGTCCTGAGACTCAGCTTCCAATAATTGAAAGTCGTGCTGTTGGTGCAGAACCCTGGGAGGCAAGCAGGTAGTTGCTCAAGTACTTGGGTCCCAGTCACCCCCGACTGGGGATACTGGGAGTGAGTTCTAGCTGTCAGCTTCAGCCTGGTCCAGCCCTGCCTGCTTTAGACATTGGGGAGTGAACCAGTGGTTGAAAGATTCTCTCTCTTAGGCTTTCTTCCTCCCTTTCAAATAAAATGAAAGTAAACACATACTTCTTTCATGATATGAGTTTATTGTGGCAGGTGTGGTAGCACAGTAAATTAAGCCTTGAGTTTATTTTTAAAAAATGCAGGGAGAAAGAGGAAGGTGGCCCAGCACAGTAGCACAGCGGCTACAGTCCTCGCCTTGAACGCACCTGGATCCCGTACGGGTACCAGTTCGTGCCCTGGCTTTTCCACTCCCCATCCAGCTCCCTGCTTGTGGCCTGGGAAGGCAGTAGAGGATGGCCCAAGGGCTTGAGACCCTGCACCCTTGTGGGAGACCGGAAGAAGCTCCTGGCTCCTGGCTTCGGATCAGCTCAGCTGCAGCTGTTGTGGCCACTTGAGGAGTGAACCAGCAAATAGAAGATCTTTCTGTCTATCCCTCTCTCTCTGAAAATCTGCCTTTCCAATAAAAATAAATCTTTTTTAAAAAGGGTAGGAAGTTGAAAGACAAAAGTTCTCCTCGTTCAACCATCAACATGTGGAAGGCGCCCTCCTCCTGTTGATTTCCCTTGTTCATCTCCCAAGGTCAAGAACGAACAATGTCCCAGCTCTCCCGTTTGCAGCACCCAGGCTGGTGCGCACACAGGGAAGGCTGTGGAATGAAGGCTGGCCGGCCTGCCTGCCTGCCTGCCTGCCTGCCTGCCTGTCAGGCCCCTGGCACAGGGCTGAGCCCAAGGGAGGCGCTCAGCACCCCTGTTGTTACGGATTCACCTGGGAACTGGGGGAAACGTTGGGCTCTTGAGAAACATTCTCTGAGTTTCTTCAAAACAAACAAACAAAAAATATTTGGAGCCCCCCACCCCACCCCACCCCATTTCCCTGCTATGCCCTGGGGTTCCATCTCCCACTGTGGCATCCTGGTCTTGCCACACCTGTTCTCTTGCTCTCTTCCTCCTGGCAGACCAAGAGCCAAGGGCTTTAGCAAACAAACACAGTATTTATTGTGGTTCCGGATGGTACTGCCTCTTCCTCCCTTGCCAAGGTTCCACTAAAGGCAGCAAAGCAGGTGTGTCATGCCTTCAGTTCTCCAGTGCTGCAGCTCCCTGGGGTAGGTGGTACCGGGACATCACCAAAGCTGAGGACGTGATGAAACCCCGTGCCTAGCCCTGCTGCCTCCTGTCAATGCCAGCCCCTCACCTGTCCCCCTTCCCATTCCTTCACTCTCTCCTCTACCCACACAGCCCCAGCCCAGAGAACCACCAGATGGCGGCCATCTTGCCATCTCTGCCTCAGCAGCCAGGTCCCTCCCCAAAGCCTGCTGGACCCCCACTTTTCATTCACCCTAGAACAATCTTGAACCTGATCCTGTCGCTCCTTTACAGGCTCCCCAAACCCCGGCCCCCAGGGAGGGGGTGCATCCGAGGCAAGACACGGATCATAGGTCCCAGGCCCAGTTCGGAGGAGCAACTGTTTGTATCTTACAATCAAGTAAATCTAAATAGATTCCAGAAAAGTTCAAAGGACAGTAAGGAATAATTGGGAAGGGAGAACCTGGGACAAGTAGGTTTGGGTCAGCAGAGGAAGAGGGGACCACCGGATGGGCAAGCAGTGGCAGGTGAGCACAGGGTGCTATGCAGGGTGTGGCGGCCATGGGGAATTCACACCCAGAACCAGGAAGACAGCAGTGAGAGCAGCCAGTGGGGAAGTTGGCCAGGGACTCCAGCTTCTCCCCCGCCTGAAGCACAGCCTATTGCTCCGACTGTCCCACTCGCTCCTCACCGTCTGACCCAGCTTACTGCTTATGATCTCGGAGCAGTGGAGGGTGACCCAAGAGATCGGGGGCCCCTGCACCTATGTGTGAGACCCAGAAAAACTAGCTCCCAGCTTCAGATTGGCTCAGCTTTGGCCACTGTGGAGTCAACCAATAGATGTAAGATCCTTCTCTGTTTCGCTTTCTCTCTGTACATCTGTCTTTCAAATAAACACACAAGTAAACTTAAAAAAAAAAGTGTGTTGGGCCCTGCACAATGGCTCAATGGCTAAATACTCACTTTGCAAGCAATGGGACCCCATATGGGCACTGGCTCATGTCCCAACTACCCCACTTCCCAACCAGCTCCCTGCTTGTGGCCTGGGAAAGCAGTTGAGGACGGCCCAAAGCCTTGGGACCCTGTACCCGCATGGGAGACCCGGAAGAAATTCCTGGCTTTAAATCAGCTCAGCTCCAGCAGTTGCAGCCACTTAGGCAGTGAACCAGCAGTTGGAAGCTCTTTCTATCTCTCCTTTCTGAGAATCTGATCTTCCTTCCCAATAAAAATAAATAAATCTTTTTAAAAATAAAAAAATGTGGAAGTCAAGGTAAAACACGAGAGTGGCTTTTAGAAGACTGAAAAGGGGCCCCAGCACAGTAGCCTAGTGGCTAAAGTCCTTGCATTGAAAGCACTGGCATCCCATATGGACGCCGGTGCTAATCCCGGCAGCCCCGCTTCCCATCCAGCTCCCTGCTTGAGGCTTG